CCTGCATTCCTTTGCTCAACCCCATTTTCCCTTCCCCTTCCTACCCGATTCTCCTGTCCCCATTCTCCTTACCCCATTCCACCAATAAAATCTATTCTATTTACCTTTCCCAGGGAGATCCATGTGTTTCCCCCAGTCCCTTCTTCTATATGTAACCTCTCTCGGACTATGGTTTGTGGATTGGTTATCATTTACTTAATGGATAATATCGACACATAAACACATACATGACACATTCATATTTCTGAGTCTGGGTTACCTCATTCTGGATGAGTATTTTTGTTAGTTACATCTATTTGCCTGCAAATTTCATGGCATTATTGTTTCTTAACAACTGACTGTGTAAATGTATCACATTTTTAAAATCCATTCTTCTGTTGAGGGGCATCTAGGTTGTTTCCAACTTCTGGCTATTGTGAATAGAGCAGCAATGGACATGGTTGAACAAAAATCTTTGTGTTAGGATGAAGCATCCTTTGGGTATATGCCTGAGTGGTATAACTGGATCTTGAGATAGATTGATTCCCATTTTTTCTGAAGAACTGGCAAACTGATTTCCATAGTGGCTGTACAAGTTTGCACTCCCACCAGCAATAGAGGAGTGCTACCCTTGCTCCACATTCTCACCAGCATGAGCTATCACTTGTGTTATTCATCATAGACATTCTGACAGATGTGAGATGGAATCTTAAAGTCATTTTGATTTTCATTTCCCTGATGGCTATGGATACTGAATATTTCTTTGTGTTTCTCAACCATTTGAGTTTTCTCTATTGAGACTTCTCTGTTTAGATCTATGCCTCATTTTTAAATTGGATTATTTGGTTTGTTGATGTCTAGTTTCTTGAGTTCTTTATATATTTTAGATATTAATCCTCTATCAGACTGTAGAATTAATGAAAACCTTTTCCAATTCTGTGGGCTGCCACTTTGCTTGAATGACAGTGTCCTTTGTCTTATAGAAACTTTTCAGTTTCATGTGGTCCCATTTATTGATTGTCAATCTTAGTGCCTATGCTGTTGGTGTTGTGTTCAGAAAGTCGTTTCCTGAGCCAATTCTAGGCTATTCTCAACTTTCAAGGCTATCCCCCACCTTTTCTGCTATCAGGTTCAATGCTATGTTGAGGTCTTTGATCCACTTGAACTTCAGTTTTATACAGGCTGATAGGTATTGTTCTATTTGCATTCTTCCACATGCCAACATCCAGTTAGATGTGCATAGTTGGTTGAAGATGTTTTCTTTTTTCCATGGTGTCATTCTGGTTTCTTTATAAAAAATCAGGTGTCCATAAGTATGAATTTATATCTGGGTCTTCAATTATATTCCATTGATCAACATGTCCATTTTTATGACAAAACCATACTGCTTTTATTACTATAGCTTTGTAGTACAACTTGAAATGAGGAATGGTGAGACATCTGGCAGTTCTTTTTGTTGTTCAAGTTTGTTTTAGCTACCCTGGGTTTTTTGTTTTTCCATGTGAAGCTGAGAATTGTCCTTCCAAGAACTGGGAAGAATTATGCTGGAATTTTATTGGGAATTGCAATGAGTCTGTAGATTGCTTTTGGTAGGATGATCATTTTTACTATGTTAATTCTACCAATACTTGACCATGGGATATCTTTCCATTCGGAGATCTTGAATTTCTTCAAAGACTTGAAATTCTTATCATACAAGTCTTTCACTTGCTTGGTTAGGGTTAACCCAAGATATTTTATATTGTTTGTGGGTGTTGTAAAGTGTTTTGTTTTCCTGATTTCTTTCTCAGTCCATTTGCCATTTGTATGTAGGAGTGCTACTGATTTTTTTAAGTTAACCTTATATACAGCCACATTATGGAAGGTATTTATCAACTTGTAAGGGTTCCTTGATAATTTTTTTAAAAGATTTATTTATTTATTATGTATACAGTGTTCTGTCTGCGTGCCAAATCTCATTACAGACGGTTGTGAGCCACCATGTGGTTGCTGGGAATTGAACTCAGGACCGCTGGAAGAGCAGGCAGTGCTCTTAACCACTGAGCCATCTCTCTAGCCCCCGATAAAATTTTTTGAATCACTTATGTATACTATCATATCATCTGCAAATAACAATACTTTGACTTTTTCCTTTCCAATTTATATCCCCTTTATCTACTTCAGTTGGCTTATTGCTTTAGGTAGAATTTCAGGTTCTATATTAAATAGATGTGGAGAGAGTGGACTGTTCTACAGAGGTACAGTAACAAAAAATGGCATAGTATTAGCATAAAACAGGAATGCTGATCAAAAGAATTGAATCAAATACTCAGACATAAACCCACACAGCCAAGGATACCTGATTTTTCATAAAGAAGCTAGAAATATACCACAAAAAAGAAAGCATCTTCAGCAAGTGGTGCTGGTTTAACTGAATGTCTGCATATAGAAGAATGCAAATAGATCCATGTTTATCACCCTACACAAAACTTAAGTCTTTAAGTTGCCTTATTGCTGTAGCTAAGACTCCAAGTAATATATTGATATGTATGGAGAGAGTGGACAACCTTGTCTTCTTCCTGATTTTCATGAAACTGCTTTGAATTTCTCTCCATTTAGTTGATATTGGCTATGGACTTGCTGCGAACTGCCTTTCTTATGTTTAGGTATGTCCCTGAAATCCCTAATCTCTCCAGGACTTTTATTCTAAAGAAGATTTGGACTTAGTCAATGGCCTTTTCTGTGTCTAATGAGATGACCAGCTTTTTTCTTTTAGTTTGTTTTTATTGTAGATTACATTTATTGATTTTCATATTTTGAACAACCTTGCATTTATGTGATGAAGTCTGCTTGATTATGATGAACAATCTTTTTGATGTGTTCTTAGATTTGGTTTGCCAGTATTTTATTGAGAAATTTAACATGTATGTTCATAAGGAAAAGTGGTCTGTAATTCTCTTTCTTTGTTGAATCTTTGTATGACAGGGTAACTGTGACCTCATAATATGCACTGGGCCATGATCTTTCTGTTTTTATTTTCTGGAATAATTTGAGGAGTATTGGCATTAACTCTTTCTTGAAAGTCTGGTAGAATTCTGCACTAAAACCACCTGCCCCTGGGTTTTTTAGTTTGGGAGACTTTTAATTACTGATTTTTTTCTCACTAGGGGTAACATGTCTGTTTGCATTATTTATATGATCTTGATTTTACTTTAGTAAGTGGTATTTGTCAATAAACTTATCCATTACTTTTAGATCTTCCAATTTTGTGGAGTACAGATTTTTAAAGTATGTTCTTATGATTCTCTGGTTTACTTAGTTGTGGTGGTATATTGTGTGCCCCAGTAAAAGTTATCTGGGGATCAGAGGACAGAGCCAGCCACTAAATTAGACATAGAGGCCAGGTAGTGGAGGCACACACCCTTAATCCTATCACTTGGGAGGCAGAGATCTGTCTGGATCTCTGTGAGTTCAAGGCCACACTGGGAACAGAGTCAGGCAGTAGTGGCACACACCTTTAATCCCAGCACTTGAGATCTCATGCCTTTGCTTGGAAAGCACACACACCTTTAATCCTAGGAAGTGACATGGCTGGGTGGAGAATGGTACATAAGGCGGGAGGAGACAGGAACTAAGCAGAAGTTCAACTGAGACCCTCAGGGGTGAGGACTCAGAGAGAGGCTTTCAGTCTGAGGATTTGTAGAAACAGGATTGGCTGAGGAGTTGGTGAGGTGAGGTTGGCTGTGGCATGTTCTGCTTCACTGATCTTTCAGCTTTCACCCCAATATTTGGCTCAGCATTTTTTTTATTAATAAGACTTTTTAAGATTTGTATTATACTTGGTGTCTGTTATGTCCCCAGATTTTCAATGTGAATTTCCTAATATATGATGGTAAAGAAAAAACTGTTTTTGACATGACAAAAATTAATTTCCATGCTTTCAGTTAGATTTTCCAGACAGCCACTTAACATTTTTATCATGCATCCAATTAAGTTAAATGATAATATTTGTATCTTAAATATATGGTTCTAAAGTCACAGGAACATTGTCATATTTATTCCTTCAGGTTGAGATACTTGGTTTGAGGATATTAAATGTCATTCATATACATTCTTTATGAAGGACTTGATTTCCTATGACTTTTATAACTCCTAGTATTTAATTAAAGTTATATATCAAGGAATATATATATATATATATATATATATATATATATAATTATATAAAATAAAAGAAATAAAAGAATGGGTACATGATACACTTAACTATGTTATATTAATTTAGTTTATAGAAGGAGTATATAAAACTAAGACTAAATTAAGACTAAATGAAGCCAATGTCTATGGAGACATTAGAAATCCATCAGCTTTGATGAATAAAATCACGTAATTAAAGGTCATGCTAATGACTATAAAGAAGATATACTTTCAAGTTCTCATTAGTATCTCAGGGGACTTTCTAAAGACAAGGAGCAGAAGATGAGTATTTCAAAAATAGTGTGACTACACAAAAAATTTGGGAAGAAGTTCTAAGAACTCAAATCTATAATTGAAGTAGAGTGAACATAATACATCATTAGCCTTATATTTCTGTTGTACCAGATTTCCCTTACTTGCCACCCTAATGTAGGTTATTTTCTTTCATTTCCCTTAGAAACCTTGTGGACAGAGAAGATGGATGTCTACAATCTTACCACAGTGACTCAATTCATCCTCATAGGGCTCTCTGACCTCCCTGAGGTGCGTTACCCTCTCTTCG